GAATGGTATCCCCACAACCAGTTCGATGTTGCAAGACTGGTCAGCATCCCTTTGTTCAGTGGGGAGGGAAAGATGAATGCAGAGAGTGATTGAAAGCTTCTAAAATTAGGCTCCAAATCCAAATTATTCTTTGAAACCATCTCTCTCTCAGACACAGTCAAGTCATCTAAATACATACCCTTTTAATTGCAGTAAGGTCTTGGAAAGGTCTGAGAGTTGTCCTGCTACACAAATATACTTCACATCAAGAAAAGAAATCAAGCACAGATATAAAAGAAACCACAAGGATATGCACATATAGAGACATTAGGGATAGCTTTACAAAAATTTTAGATTTTTTTTTTTTCTAAAAATTGAGCATCCAAAAGGAGATTCTCCAATTAGTATTCTTAGCAACATTCCCAGCTCCAAGAATGCTCCAACTTGTAATGCTACAAAACTGGAAGGACTGCAGCTTGTTCTACCACATATCATCCTAATAAATGGTGCTGAATAAGTCCTCCTAGGGCTACACTAATTCTGATGACTGAGAGCAAATTAAGTGAAAACTGCAAGTGAGTGAGGAGCAACCATTTGAGCTGGCTGTGTTTTAAAAATAGTTTTGGTGGAAGAAAATGAGAAACTGTGAAGAAACCTCCCTTGTTTAAGGGAGTATTCTGTTAAGACTACTTCTGAAATTGTTAGCAGCTTCGAATAGCCTATTTTGCTACTTATCAGAAGGAGAGCTTGACTAAAATAACAAGGTATCGACAATGTCAAAATTGTCTGTAAAGAATTAAATAGAGCTGGAGATGCTGAGCCTTCGCTGTAGTTCCACAAGGACAAATTTCTCATTAAATAGAGAAATAAGTGTTTCCTACACAGAGGTGGAAAAAAATAAACAGAAAGGGAAAAAACACAGAAGGAATATTGCATCACAGCACTCCATACAGCTAAAAATAAATAAGTAAATAAATAAACAAAAGACATATGCACAGAACCTGTTTTTTTTAAAAAGAAGTTCATTGCTTTTCAGGTGAAGGGCTGTTGTCATAGAAAAATACTCAACAATTTGTATTAACCTAAGTGTACTTGGACAACATCTGCTCCCTCCTTAATTTATAGTTATGTATAGCAGCCCAATATGATAAAAAGTAAGAGAACATCTTTATTAGATCTTTGCTGGAGCAGATAAAGTCCATCACTGACTTTCTCTCTGATGATTTATTCTTCACATTCTCAAAGGATTATTGTATTTCTTAAGGTAAAATAGTAATGACAATGATTCCAAATAATTACAGAAAACATGGAAAGATTTTCAGCTACTAGTTCCCGGACAAATAATATACATTTTAATACATGACTACACTGCATATGAGTTGTGTCTGTAAAGCATAACTACTATCAGTTATTCAGATATGTAAAAGAAGAATAGATGATAATGTTGGCAATGACATGAAAAATGTCATCCAGTTCTTTGTATCTAATGAGCCTTTTCAATCTTAAGTCTTGAAAAAAGATACAACCATCTGCCTATGTGTACTCTATGAAATTCAAAGCAAATGAGAAATCTAGGAGTGTTGGAAGGAAAGATATTCAGCAGTAAAATAAAGTCCTGAGTTCCTCATTGTGCAGTTTTTCTTCAGTAGGTGAGTATTCCCCAAAAGAGCCAAAATCTTCCCAGTCAATATGAACTTGGCGATTGGCTTCATTATAAGTACAATGATGACCAATTTATTGTTACAACGTATGTTCCCCAGACCCCTTTCGCTACATTGAAGTTGATAAAATCCAGCCAAATTCTCTATTGTTAGATTTTTTATATTCTAGAATAATAAACTTGGAGCAATAAATTCCTCACTCTGCTGTTTTCATTTTTGCTAATATGTCTGAGTATACAATCAGCTAACTTTACGATTACAGCTAAGACACTACAAATGAAAACTACAGGAGAAAATCAGTCTGCACAAAATAGTAAACTAAGACTTTTCAAATATATTTATATGAAAAGTTTATATAAATATATTGTTAAGTCTGAGAGCTCTGACACACTTTTTGAGTGATCAGGTACTGTCACTATTCCATAGGTTAACTTGTTGAAATTCAGGCAATGAAATATCATTTTCTGCAAGAAAAAAGATCCCAGGAGCATGTATACAAGAAAAGAGCTAGACCTGTATGAGCTTTACTTTTGACTTGCAGTACTTCAAAACATTATAATGTATGAGTAATCCATACAAATGTTTTCTGGTGTTAAGAAGAAACAATTTCTCAAGTCACAATAATTTAGCCATTATGATGGATATAGTACAAAATAAATATAACTACATATGACTACAACACATATTTTCCTTGTTTTTTCTTTTCTTTTTCTTTTTTTTTGTTTTTAAACTATGTTGAGTTCACTTGAGATTAATATATCTAAGAGAAGAAACAATAAAAAGTTGATCTGCAAAAGAAAATTCTCTAAGAATCCACCAAGAGTGCTTTTCCACAGTCAGTGTTCTCCCCAGAATAGATTTCCAATTTGAATTATTGAGTGTCATCTAAGGAAGAACTAAATAATGAAGTATGATATAGCCCCAAGACACAGCCCCATTATCTCCAATAATAATATTTGTTGCCCTCAATCTTCCTGTAATCTTCATCCATCTTAGTTTTAAAATAATCTTTTAATTTAATCTAAATTAGTTTTAATTCTATATTTTACTATAGAACAAGGAAGAAAGAAAAAAAGAAATCTGAAATTAAAAGAATCTTAGTAGAAGTCCCATCATAAAGAACTTTAAAATTTTCTGAGAGATTTCATCTAAATTATATAGTGAAGTCTGCATAGATATTAATCAGAACCAGTCTTATCCCAGCTAATTTTAAATGATGAAATCCGCAAGACACTCAGTTTTAATATTGGAATGAAATTGTCTGAGACCTCAGTTTTACAAGCCAATTCCACAAGAGGTACAACAATCCAAGCAAATAACTGAAATACCCAGTCCCCAAGAATTAACATAGATTTCTTCATTTGTTGTACAACCTATATATATAGTGATAAGAACACATAAAGCATAAAAGCAGATTTATGTTGCATTCTAGAAATCATTCAGGCATCCACTACATCTTTCAAAACATGCCTTCAAAAGGAGTTATAAGCTACATTGTACTCATTACATAATGAATCAATATATTGTGGGTTTATAAAAAATTACTTATTTGTAAAAAGGTAAAAAGAAGTTTTCACAATGACTATTAATTAAATTTATAGGTCACCAGCAAATATTACAATAAAAATAAGTCATTCATTAAGTTTATCTGTTGAATACCTCTATTAGCAGATGAACATTCAGTGTATCCTGTCTCTCTTCTCTGTGTTTAGGAAGCTCTAATGAGCACACTATCACATGACATTATTGGCCATATTATTTTTGTTTGTGACATTAGCAAACAAAACCATTTCCAAAACATTCAGTTACATCAACAATTACTTGCTGTCCCTACTGCAAGACACCCATCAACATTTCAGTGCATTAAAGGTGTTTTCATTGCTGTCATTTGACAGAAGAAGCACAGAGTTCATCCTTAACTTGAAGGAAGGTATGGCAGGGAGAACATAAGCATTTTGATCACCTATCTTGTAAACTCTTTAACTCTTTTAAATTCTGAAGGTTTTTTGGTGTTGTTTTTGTTGTTGTTGTTGTTGTTTGTTTCTTTGTTTTTGGTTTACAACTTCTTCCCAATTGTTTAGTATAAGTTGATGGTTTGACATTGTCATTTCATCCTCAGAACTAAAAGGTGTGGTATGGTAAGAAAGTAGATTAAAAATAAATAAATAAATAAATAAATAATAAATAAATAAATAAATAAATAAAAACAAGCAAACAAACAAACAAAGTTCTAAGTAGAGAACCAGTCAGCTGAAGAGGTCACTGAAATGTCTAAGAATTGGTACCCCAGCTAGATTGCTAGGTCTCACATAAGAACCAAGGGATTAAATCATTAAACAGTGGCTAACAGTTAAAATAAATTAGGCAGTGATATGCTTGTTTACAGAAGCTAGAATCTGGGCGATAGACATCCATGTATGATCTTCATTCTTCCTGCAGAGAACTAAGATATCTTGGGATAGGCATGGCAGAGCTGATTTGGTCTTTAAAGATGATTTTGGTGCATCAGCTAACGCAGACCACCGGGTTATAAAGATGGGTATAGTACAAATTCTTGAAGGTACTAGCCTTCAAGCATCTTGGGTATTTTGTAGTTCTTCAGAAGCGCATTCTCAAGTTGAATCCAGGCTTAGTGCTTATTGAAGGCCTGGAAGCAGCTCCCTTGATGGGACTGATCGAACTGAGAGCATTGTTTTTTCACATTACATATATTCCGCTGAAGGTATCATATCAATTCTCCTTGCTTCCTGTGGCTTTTTACCCCATCACTCTGTTATCCAGAGAAGGAACAGAGATAAAAGGAAAAGTGTTGTGGTGTTTTTTTTTTTTTCTTTTTCCTATTATGTTTTGTTTGTTGTTTGTCATTTTGTTTTGTTTTTCCACTGCTATGAAGACATGCTCACATTGGGTTGGCATATTTATATATATATTATTATATTGGTATTATTATATTATTATTATATTGATACACAAATGTATTTTAAATACATACATGCACTGTCTCTAGAGTTATTTACTTGGTTAGCTCAATAGCTCTCAGGTATTCTGGACAACTTTTTCCTATTAGCATGATATATCTCTCTTAGCATAATGAACTCTTGCAAAGGTCAAATTTAGACAATAAATGCTGCAGGAAATGATGACTCTACAATAATCCTGTTATCTTCCTACAACTCTAATTTCATTTTGTTGAGTTGAACAGAGCAAGGGTAAAAGGGTAACTATTTTCTGTATACTAACACCCATGTAACCAAGTCCCCTGAGCACAGTGTCATGTTTAATCACTGCTGTAATACATTAGTAATAAAAATGTATTGTAAAAAAATATTTCAGGAGGACGGGAGAAAGCAGAAGGAAGGCTTGTTATTAGCAAAATATGTTGAATAATTATTTAACTCATTTTTGTCTTAGAGGTTTGTTTGATAATGCTACCCTGATATAACACTATAAATAGAATGCAAACTGAATTGTGAATGTTTTTGTTGTTGTTAACAAATGTTGAGACTATCAGTGTTAAATATTTGTATATGCAAGGTGGAACACCACTTCCAGACAATACTTTCAAAAGTTTGCAGCATTAGTGTAACACTGCTCTGACCCAAACTAATAGAGCTTTATTCCTGCAATGGAACGTACTTTATTGTTATTTTTATTTAGTAATTAAAATAATTCAGTGCTATTTTTCATTAACTCTTTGGCATAATTACTCTCTGGATGACTTGTCCATATTTCCTGTTCCTATGCTAAAATAATATCATGGGCGAAAACTCAACACACATTGGCATACACTTCAGAAAGCCCTGTCTTTCCTGGGGTGGCTTAAGGAAAAAAAAACAAAACAAACAAAAAAAAAAGGGACCCATCTTTCTCCTGCTAGACAAGCAGTTTAATCCTATGACAATCCTATTTCAGTATGTGTATCCCAGTAGCTTACCATACCCAAGTCAATGCATCGTTGTCACCATTACAATACATCATCCAAGGGTAGTAGCCACTACAGTACTTAAGCTGCTTAAGAAGAACTTCCCCTGCTTTGTAGTTTTCTTCTCCAGATATGCTTGTTATCAGAACAAAATTTAAGCTACCTCTGTGACTTGATACCCTCTCTGTTGCCTGGCTGTAACTTGACTTTTCTAGGGGTCTCTAAAGGGCCATGTATCAACTGAAGTCACAGGTGTAGTGTAGGCCTACTCAACCTCTCATCAGACTAACTGCAACACGGTAGAAGCTATTTGCTAGCACATGGCTAGCCCATCCTTGGAAGAGATTTGGCATCATGCAGCAAGCAAATTAATTAGTTAAAAGCAACACTACATGTAGTCATGTGAGCATAGACATTATCAAATGGACTTTCTTAAAGTAAGGTTTTATAAACACCTCTATATAACAAATCTCAACATTTGTTTTTATACATCTCCAGGGTGGCCACACAAGGGATACTGCAAAAGAAAAAAAATATAGAATAGGTACAAACAAACTGAATTAAATTTATTTAATATGTAATATGTTCTTGTACAGAAGTACATTCATTAGCATGCTTCTAAATCATGCCAAACACATTGGTACTTGGGAATTCTGTGTGTGCTGTTACTGTAATTCATTTTGTTTGTTGTCTAAACTCTGATCAGAAAGTGTAGGAAGATTAACAGCTTACTAGCTAGGAAAAGCACAGTAAGTACTGAAGGTGTTCAGAAGTGCCAGTGAAGTTGTATTCTTCTCTGGATTTTTTTATATTCTTTTTTTTTCCTCCGGAAAATTTCCCAGTGATGATAAATACAATAGGCCATTAAGGAGGTAAAGGCAATATTATGGCATTGACTCAGCCTGTTCCAAAACATGCAAAACCCATGGGTAAAGGACCCATTTGAATGTCTGTGGCTATTAACTCTACCTTTTATGTTTTCATTATATGTGAATCCCAGCTGAGGTTTGTTACTATCTTTTGTAGCCTGTAGCAATAGGTTGAAGAGATGAGTTTACTCAGATATTAAAAACAGAAACCTGGAAACGTGAAAAATTGCAATGACAAGGAATGAAATAATTTCTTCTGATGTAGTGAAATGAAATCTTTGCCCCATGCACCTAATATGTCTGCATAGGCAACAGAGGCCTTAGTGATATTTGTTTAAACCAGCTTTCATCCCTCTATAAACAATACAAATGTCAGCTTCGTATGATCTCTATTCCGCACTTCTGACCTGGCAAAAAAAGGCTGCCCAAACAAAAAGTCTTACAATTTTGGATTAAAGTTCTCCCTCAAAGCCCCACAAAGTTGTTGTTGTTTTGATATATACATGTATATATATTTTAACTTACTGTTACTAAAGAAGCTTAATAATAGAATAATGAAGATAGAATAATATATCACTTAGAGGATCATTGCCCAACAGAAAGTGCATCCATCACAAAGGCAAGTTGTTTACAAAGTCACCCTTACTTTTATGAAAATCTGGTCAGATACATTCTACCAGAAAACCTATAATCAACTTCCCCAATATCTATACTGTTGACTAATTCAGACTCACTAGAAGTTACATTACAGCTAGCTATTGGGAAGCAAAAACCCAGCAAATGAGAATAGTGAAAGAAAATGTAGTTTAAGATGTTAACCGTTCTTTTTAAAGCTGTAAAAAGATAGTATATAGCCAGTAAAATAAACCTCTTGCTCCATATTCCACCATGTTGAAGCTTACATGAACAACTGCAGCAATGCATTGGGATCCTTGGAGTAGGGTACAGCTGAACCAGAAAACTCTTGGACAGGATAGCATTCACCATGAGAGGGGTGTTGACAGAAGTCCTTGATGCAGACTTCCTTGTGGAGGCATTATCAGTTCATCTGGAAAGACTCCCCAGTCCGTATGTACTGGCAACTTGTATCTGTAATGCATGTATCACATACATGCTCTTTATACTTGACCAGCTACCTGACTGATGAAAGTTTCTATACCTTTCCCTGCCCCCAGTCACTAACTGGCTACACAGTAAATTATGTGAGAAGTTAAGCAAGTTAAGGACTGTTTTCCATAAATAAATTGGAAAATTTTATATGTACATGTAATAAGGTTATTCTAAGTTATTAAAATTCACACTCATGGTAATGTAACGTAAGCTTGGTTGGACAGAGGACTCAAAGCTGGGCATTCCACATAGTCTCTGTCAAGACTGACTTTCCAGATTTTCAGACAAACTTTTTCTCACAGTATCTCTTGCACTTGGAAAAAATATATATAATAAAAATAAATAAATATAACAAAATAACAATAAAAAGACCTTAAACTTACCTAAAAATCAATTCAGAATTATCTTTCAAGTCCCTTCTTTAAAATTCCTGTCACATACAGCCTACAAAATCTTGACTTCAGATTTACAGGAATATCATTTTTTGCTTGTATGAACAGTAAGCATTTTCTTGTTCTCTGCCTTTGCAATAAGCAACATAGACTTTTAGACAATCTTCTAAACATGCCATTAGCCATAGTGCACACAAGTGGCCATGATATAGAATAAGGTAGAAGAGATCTTCCAAAGGAAATACTGGGCTGTTAGGTAAGGGAGCACAAGATCTTCATGAAATGTCCCAAATGTCATGGGAAAAACAGTATGAACAGAAAGATAAGTGGTTAAGAAACTAGTGTAGAATTGAGTTGTTTTGATTTGATAAAAACTGTGGAAAAAAAGTAAAACCTGAGGTACTAATTATATTATGTTATATATATTAATATATATATAATATATTGTAAAACATATATAATATAGTTCTCCCTTACATGGTCTACATATCCATTCATCTAAGAAAATATTCTAACTTTACCTTAAAAGAAAACAATTGCTAATTAGATGTCAAATCTGCATGCCAATAGACAGAGTTAAGAGCTCTCTATCATGTTTTCAGGATGTAATAAATGGCTCAGACTTCAAAATAGGACTATAATCAAAGTTTACAATTTATTAAAGGAATAGAGGTAAGCAAACAGCGCTGGGAGTCTCTGCTCCACCAAGACGCACACCAGTTTCATCAAGCAGCTGATTTTTATGCTCCTAGGCTGATACATATTCATTACTACTTCTAAACAAAAAAAAAAAAAACAAAAAAAAAAAACAGGGTTATTATAGTTAGTTTCTGGAATCCAAACCCTCCTACTGGAGCATGCGTATCAGTCTCTGGTGGCCCCTCTGGGGGTCTCTCGTGCTGAAGGCTCATAGTCTTCCTCCCTCTTGTCCTTCTCCTTTGTCCAACTTGGCTGTATGTCAGAGACTTGTGCAACATCCCCTGCAAGCTTTGTCTTTTAGTTGTTCTTCAGCTCTCCCCATCTCCTTAATCTCCTGGCCAGATATCAGAGACTTGCATAGTGTTCCATACAATAGTCATAATAGTTAGCAGCTATTCTGAAACCCCCCAGATATCAGAGACTTCAAGGAAAAGCCTACAAATACATTTCCCTTCAAGCTCTCTATTGACATGAATTGCTAAAACGTTTCTTTGCAAGATACTAGAACTATATACGTTAACCACTCTGTTTTTCTTAGACTTGTGGTTATACAAGGGTATGTAAGACAGAAGGTCACATTCATCATACAATGCAGCCCTAGCATTGTTCCATACTGACACGAATCAGATGAACATATCTCACAGGGACTCCAGCAGCCTCTGTACAGAAGTAGAGACTTTCCGTAGTACACTAACCAGAAAGACAGAGAGAAAGAGATTGCTTGACTTGAAAAGAAATTGCTGACAGAAGACTTATCTGTAGAAATGGAGCTGGAAAGCAAAGTTCAATGACTTTTTTTTTTTAGAAGAGCATTTGCAGTTTAATGCTCAATCCTTTTGCAGCACCATTGCCAATTGGATAAAATATTTAATGGCACTGTATTTTGAACGATATATTTTTGACAATGCATTTCATGCTTTGAATGCCATTGAAGTTATGAGATTGGAGTGAATAATGAAAGAGTAACACAGCAATCATTATGGCACTGTGTTCAGATTTGTTATTCTTCATTGACATGCCACTAGCTAAATCAAGTCTTGGTAATACATAACTGGTTCTAACTTTGTAGGAATTACATTAAGATATAAGAAGGTCTCAACCTTCTGTCTTATTCTGTGCAATATTGAAGTCACATTAATATTTAAAGCTTCAGTATCCATTGTGGGAAATAAAATTTTAAAGAGCATGTACAAATCTGTGCTACAAAAATTTGATTTCAGAGCTTTAGTTTTCATACCAGTGTTATCTGTTCATAAAGCAATCCAGCCAGGAAAGAAAGAATAGCAGAGAGCCAGACAAGCTTTCAAAATGTTTATCATAGTGTTTCATGTACATGTATGAGTAAATGCGGCATTTTCAGGATTTCAATACTACTTGGTTTAAAGTTATAAAAGGGAAAGCTTGAAAAGAAAGGAAGTTATTCAAGAGGAAGTATAAATTCAAGTATTAATAAACAATGATAAGACAATAACCTACATGTCTTCAACAAGAAGTAGCAGAGTTACTCATTTAGAACTGAAATTTGTCATTACTGATTTTGAGGATGTCATAAGTGCAATGTTAAAAAACACTTAAAGCCATTGTAGCAGTTGCAGGATGATCAAAAATAAAATAAAATTTAACAATAAATACTAACCAAGTGCTTATAAACGAAGTGACAAATGACTCATTTCTGGTTGAAATCACAAAAGCAGGTGTAAAATGCCTGCTGTTCACAGAGAAGTTGTATGGGAACCTCTTCTGTTTTATTGCTCCAAAGTACTGCAATTGTATCTTCCTCCCATGCCATAATCACTGCTTATTCTCACTGCATTATAGCAGTGCAAAACATGCACAAAACAATATACCAAATCAGATCAATGGTGGTGCTGCTTGCTTAGACAAACAGACAAGTTGAGCACAAAACTCTCACAATGAGAAAGATTTTAAAACTCTGTGGTACTGAAATCTGTGCAATGGGTAGCTCAACTCCTAATGTAAACCACAAGCTTCATTTGCTTCATGTATCTTTAGCACAGCCAGTGTTACTACCACAGATACTCTTGTTCATATAAATATCTTGTTTCTTTTCACTCCTCTTAAATTCTTAACTGTCAGCAAGCCCTTAACAGTGATTTCTGTAGAATGACTGAATGCTAAGGGTAAATATATTAGCTTTTTATCATTTTTATGTGCCCTTTAATTTCATTGAGTTTTGTCTTGAATTGTGAGATAGAATAAATGGGTAATCTGAACTGCTGTCACACCAATTTGAAGAAATTATCTCAATTATAATTGAAGACATACTCTTTTTTTTTTTAAAAAAAAAAAAAAAAAAAAAAAGCATTAACAACTTGTGATACTCTCAGAATTCCTACTCTTCAACAATCTTCAAAAGAGTTTTTCCCAGTCAGCAGTCTCTGCTGCTCCAGTGCAAACTTCAGCTCCTTACCCTGGTGTTCATGATGCACCTCTGTTGTGTTCTTCCTCAAGGGAAAATAAATAAATAAATAAATAAACTGCAATATTTTAGTTATTCTTCTTCTGAACTATTTTCATTATTTCCACACCAAGATATTATAATGCTCCCTTGTATCTAGCAACAATAACCATAACAGAAATCTCACTCTCGTGTTCTCTCATTCTTGGTGTAGTGTAGGAGAAACTTTATGTCTGATTTGTATGTAGTTATTTTACATATATGCATGTTGCAGCTGCCCCATTTTTGCAAAGCATTCTGATAATAACACAAGTTATAAAGAGTTCTTGTATCTGTCTGTGAATGCCAGGTTATCTGCAGTCATCTACACCTTCATATTAAAACATTCTATCCTCCATTGACATCCTCACAAAATGTAATAAGGGATGCAATAATCACAGAGAAAGGCAAGGCAGTAGTCTGTAAGAGACTTTCAGTGGCAGATATATAAGTCAGTGAAATCTAAGAAAAGAAAAGAAAGCACCTGAGTAGTGCTCATGATTGTTTTGTATCAATCACTGAGATTTCCTCCTAAAATTATCAACTGGATCGCTTCAAGATGCACATGGTTGTATACACAGATTGCACATCCAGGATGCTGATCCCTCCTAATTATGGAGTTACGTGTTTCACTTTTTCGAGTGAGAGTCAGAAGGAACTGAGCTACCAGCAATTGTATTTGGTTTGATACAAAACACAGCAGGTCAAATCCAGCAGGTCACAAGACCCCAAGAGCTGAGCTGGTTAAGTAAGCATTTTAGTCAGTATGACTATCATGTTTCTAACAAATTTACAGAACCATAGAAGCCAATTAATTCCTTCAATGATTTGAAAATAGATGCTGTCAATGATGAAAATGTTCTAGAGAAAAATACTTTTCCCAGTTTACCCCCATTCCTACCTAATTACCTCAACCTTTTCTAGATTTTGCATGTAGCAGCATGCTCTTCTAGTAAGGCAAGATTTGATCAGGCACTTAAGAAACCAGTACTCTACCTAAAGTTTCAGGAACAGATAGGCATATAAGGCTTCTTTGAGCCAGACATCAAGAGCATGGGATAAACAGTATTATTTCAGAAGAGGGGAGGGGAGCTCTACAGTGGACAACCACCAGAGAGCTCTCTGATGGGATGCAATCTAAATGTGCTACTGCAGTGCTGCACCCTACAGCTCCTAATGCCTGTGATATCCTTGCCCATAATTTATCTCCTTAAAATTGACAACATCTCTGATTGACAGTAAGCAAAAGGTAACCTAAAGAATCAGGGAATAATGCTACTTACATTAGGCCAAAGTGACCTGCAAAACACTACATAAGCTGTTTTGCAGTATATCAGAACAAATGCTGGCAGCTGCCACTGAGCATGTAATGGAGTTCTTAAGCATAATACCCATTTAAGGGATGAATAAATAAATAAATATTAAATCCTACATTCCTAAATTAAGTGAAGCATAAATAAGGAAAAAATAAAAATAAAAAGGTATAACCCAAGTAGTAGTAAGAGGAAAGATTAAATCCATTAAATATTAAGAAAAATAATGCAATTACCTTTTAAGGACAAGATATCATCTCTCCCAAGTTAACAAAGTGATAAATTTTTTAACTTCAAAAATATTGATGTCTTCACTATCTTTTTTCTACATATTGCACTAAACATATTCTATTTATTTTACCCAGCCTATAGCATCCTGCTAATGCTTGTTTTGCTGTTGCATCATATGCAGCTGTTGAATGACTATGACTAAGTGTGAAGAACAAATACAAATACTAAGGGGAAAAGGTGGAAATTTTCTGTGATCAGCTGCCTTATGTACATAATTAATCAAGTGACAGCTGACATTGATCCAAAGTTGTTAGTCTGCTGAGACAAAATCATTCACAGATATTCTATCCCCTCGTAAATTAAAGAGAGTGTTTAGCATTGTAGGGTATTTACTTGATTGGCTGTAAATCATTGACAGCTCAGATAAACTATCAGTATGTGATGCTTTCTGATGCTAAAGTCATGACACTAATCATGGGCATGATGGATTCCAGACAAATGCATAAAGAAGTACTCCTTACAACAAGTTTGTATGATATTAGGACTAATGTGAAAAATTTACAGACCCTGACATTTTAAGAGTATGTCATAATATGGGGTTTACAATTTTAAAATTACATACTTTAAAAGGATGGATGTTCATTAGCTTCATGGAGAAAAGAAAAAGAAAAAAAAAAAGAAAAAAAAAAGCATCATTAAAAAAAAAAGCCTCAAGGGTGTTTCATACGAAACACTCACAAAGTAGAATCAAAAATCATTTTTGAAAATCTGCAGGACTGAAGAAAGGAAGAAAGAAAGAAAGAAAGAGAGAGAGAAAGAGAGACATCAAAATTAGAGAAAAGAAATTGAGAGCATACTTTAGCACACTCTTGATTATTATAATTTTTACTTGTAGTCCTGTTTACATTACTTATTGGAGGAATGAAAGTGATGTTGGTGGAAAAGTAATGTGGTGTTTTCAAAAATGTCATTAAATGACACTAAAATTCTGCATTTATCATACCAATATTTGTCTCTAATTTTGTGAAAAGGTTTTGCTGTCAAACATTTTCTTATATGCTGCATCACTTTAATGGCTGTCTTAGGCTCACATGATGTGAATATATATTCATTTCATTATATACATAACCTGAACAACTTTTGTTGCATGAAGACTTAATTTGAAGTTAACGTAGAACTATGTGATAGGTTGTTCTTAAACAAAAATTCTTCAGAACAAATTGTCTGACATCATGAAGACTAAGTGAGCAATACCCTGTGAATTGCCCTTGGATCTCAATAGTTAAGGTTAATAATCCCTCCAAATAATGTGATATAGGATGATAATTTCGCTTAGAAAATAAAAGATAATAAACAAATAAAATTCTACTTCAGCAACCCACAGAGGACACATGCAGCTTAACTTCTGAGTGTAAAATAGGGATTGGAAAAATTATGTTCAAAGGCATAGTAATGTGATGTTTAAATATGTTATCCCTACACTGTACCTTCATATTCTTCAAAACCACTGCATTATACTTGGACTCCTGTTGGGCTGCATAAGACAGTGGCTTTCATTGTGACAGGTCATAAATACTGTCCTGCTGTGCAGTGCTTTACAGGGTTGAGGGTAATTGTGTGCAGCTTAAAAACACACTAGTAACATGACCCCCAGATCCATGAGCTCAACACAGAAAGAACAAGAAAAAAATAAGAAGAAATGTTTCAAAAATTATCCACAACTTATAAAAGACAACAAGAAACTTTTAGACATTGGTTTATATTAACTATGGGCTTGTGAGAAGTCACATGCAATTTAAAAAAAAAAATAATAATTTTCTGTGTATGTTTCTTCACATACATTTTGCAGATCAAAAAAATAAAGCATAATCTACTGCGAGTAATTATAGAGTATCAAGGAAAGGGGAAGAGGAAGAGGAAGAGGAAGAGGAAGAGGAAGAGGAAGAGGAAGAGGAAGAGGAAGAGGAAGAGGAAGAGGAAGAGGAAGAGGAAGAGGAAGGGAAGGGGAGGGAAGGGGAGGGGAGGGAAAACCTTTGAGTGAAATGCATTTGCAAACTACATGCAGTGGGAATTATGTCTTTTTGTTTTTGTTTTATTTGTTTGTTTTTTTTTTACTTTCCCATGGCTGTGGATTAGAAGGAGATCTGACAATGCTGAGTTATTAGCATCAAGGCTGAACCCACAACCAGCCATGCACACATGCACCACACACACTTTAAACACATGGCTATCTGCATGGATCAACACAGACAGGAAACAGTGGCATCCACCAAAACAAAAAGATCATCCACACAAACACAAACAGCACCAACCCTGTTCTTCCTCTTTGACTGATCAGAATTAAAACCTTCCAGTGGAATATACACTGTGGGTGTGTCCAGAAGCTGGTGTTAGGCACTCTGTTTACCCAGTAGCTGTCTCCTAGACCTAGGACTTCATGACTTGCTGGCACCTCAGGCCTCTGAGGTTTGTGCTTTGACTCCAGCTGCTGGTAGCCAGATCTCTTAGTCTATTATCAGCTAGTCCACCTTGAATTTCCCTAGCACTCACATATACCCACAAAAGAGACAGTTAGGATTTAGTGAGAATATAGGATAACTTGCAGTGATCAGGTTCAGCCAGACAAGTATACTGACCAGCCCCTGTCTACACGCAAGAAGCCTCTTTTACCTTTAACCTTTTATTTTCCCATGCTTGTTCCTCCCCAGTGCACTCCAACTCCTCTCTTTCTTTGCCTTTTGTCCTTTCACTAAACATCCCATGATGAACGTCACATATTCCTTAACTTCTGTTCTCCCTGCATCCCATGATAGGTCCTGTACTCTGTAGGCAGTAAGCTCTTTTCATAATGTCAATGATAACACTAGGAACACCAAGTCAGGATTCTTCATTAGAACTGATTAAATTCTTGGGGTTCCCCCACCTGCTGTGGTTCCCCTAGTCCCCTTAGAGCTTTTTGTTTATGAGCATTTGCTTTTAATCATATTGCCTAATGACCTGAGTTCTCAGTATAGAGTAGATGGATATAAAGAAAATTCAGTATCTTGTTACAAGTAGAAGTAAAAGCAAATTATTCTGAAATAATTTTGCCTCAAATTAGAAAATTTGCCCATGCCCCAGTGTCTAGGATGACTTCATAAGGTAGAGCCGTAATGCTGATTTAGAAACAAAAGGCCACAAGTAATCTCCAGAGGCATTCTGACCTTCCCAAGATAGAGCGGAGAAAAAACAGTTTGAGGCATAACCCTCTTGAAAGGACTCCTACTCAGACTTTGCTAGCATGAACTGAATGCTTTCACCAATAAACTATCATATCCAGGGGAAAGGAGAGGAAGAGGAAAAGCAGACTTTGGTCCAGGGTTGTGTTGCCTCTTTCAGGATGCTTAACAAAACAGACTCTAAATAGTCACTCATTTTTCACTGTCTGAGGCTGAGGGTCCTGAAAGTCAGACAATATCCTTGTAATTCTTCCAGTCTCTCTTTTGTATGCTAGCAGGACAAACTGTAATTTATCCCAGCTGAACACTGAGGATTAAAAAAAAAAAAAAAAAACAAAAAACAAACAAACAAACAAAAAAAAAAAACAGGGGATAATTCATGGCAATATTCCTGGATAAAAATGACAAATGAAATACACTGGAGATAAATTAAAGGAAATCCAAAATAGTGCTCAGGGAATAAGGATGATTCTGACATAGGTAAAATTTGAAGTAACAGCAAATACCACAGGGGTCCCTTCAGAAACGGAATAAAGGAACAAAGTAAATATACAACACAATGAAACACAAGAACTAGATGCCTTGAAGATATTCATAATCTAACATCTATACAGAAGAGGTAATCATAGCATCATAGAACGGTTTTGGTTGGAAGGAACTCATCTAGTTCCAACCCCCCTGCCATGGGCAGGGACATCTTCCACCAAACCAGGTTGCTCAAAGCCCCATCCAGACTGGGTTTGAACATTTCCAGGGATGGGGCATAATAAACCTATTGTGAAAAATAATCAGCTCATTTTCCAAACAAACAAACAAACAAAAATTGTGGAGGAAAGAAAATGAGAAGAAAACTGAATTCACTGTCAGTAATGAGGAAGGGACTGCACAGCAATAGGGCAAACAAACAATATACAAAGTGCCACAACCAAAATGACAACTCAGAGAGTTTAGATAAACCCACAGTTGTAGTTCAGCAGTTCTGAAGGAACCTGAATTCTCTATGTCAGGAATCTAAACAGACACAGCTAATACTCACAACCATGAGCAGTAACATGACTTATTTACTTATTTTAAGTAAATTTTATACATCAGTGTATAATCCTGTCATGACTGGATTATCAAGTGTAAAGCAAATAACTTTATTAATAATTCCATCTCAGTGAGTAGAGATCATGATACTAGTATTCTGATTTTCTTTCTCTCTCTCTCTCTCTTTATTTAAATTATTTATTTAATTATATAAGGCTACAGCTTCTGGGATATTATCTCCGTGGATGGGATTCAGTTCAAGATTAAGATATGCACAGTTAACTGTTTATGTCTAGGTGAGCTTGATGTCTATGATCCCATTATAGGCAATGGATATCTAGATAAACATTCAATAAAATCTAGGGTTTAGACAAGCGATTAGCCAGCAGGTACAGTGATTTTAGGGTCCATGAGATCTACAAAAAGGTTCTACATCAACTATAACAAGAGTTTATAGAATCATAGAATAAATCATAGAATCATAGACTATCTTGTGTTGGAAGGGACCTTAAAGATCATAGAATCACAGAATCTTTGAATGTCTTGGGTTGGAAGGGACCTCAAAGATAATCTAGTTCCAATCTCCCTAATAAAGGTAGGGATGCCACCCTGATCGGGTTGCTCACGGACTCATCTAACCTGGTCATGAACACCTCCAGGGGTGGGGCATCCACAACCTCTCTGGGCAACCTGTTCGAGTGTCTCACCACCCTCTGAGTGAAGAATTTCCTCCTCTAACCTAAATTTCCCCTCTTTTAGTATGAAACCATTCCCCCTTGTCCTGTCATTATCCCATTGAGCAAAGAGTTGATCTTTTTTATAAGCCAGCAGTGGTTTTTTTTGTTTGTTTTTTTTTTTATAGTACTGACATGTTGCAATGAGGTCACCCCAGATCCTTCTCTTCTGTGGGTTCCAGCTCTCTCAGCCTTTCTTTATAGGAGAGGTGCTCCAGCCTCTTTATCAT